CTTTTTCCAGCACTGCTTTCAACATCCATTAAATGTTGACTTCTTTCATTTGCTGCTGCATTATGCCTACAGATCACATTTCTTCATTTACACTCATTCTCTGTTCTTAATTCTAGTTCTTTCATAGAGCCTCAATTGCAAACTTAATCTAATTTCTCGCCATGCATCTTTCTTCTAGTTATGTCAAAGCATTACTGGCACTTTATTAAAAGATTTAAGTCATCAACATCAGTTATGCATTACATATCAACAATTAACAAGATATTTACAGCATTTATTAATCTAGGTTAATGTTAAAATGTTACAGTAGTTGATCCAAAAATTAAATTGTCATTTACCCACCCACATGTTGTTCCAAACCTGTATGACTTAGGCTACTTTCTTCTGGATTTTGCATTGTCTTTACACAGTGAAAGTCACTGTGGTCCCAAACAACACTGTTCATTATTAGTTCATGATGCCTAATGCATTAACTAATGTTATGTTGTGCAGTGTTACCATCTAATCTTTCACCATTTCTCTGACATAGACCAATGATGTCCTTTGAGGTAAGGTTACAAGCGGTCCAATATTAAATTGGTTAATTTATGAAAGAAACTCCATAGATTTGGCATGCACGTTGTATAGCAGCACATTATAACCTCATTATGTAAGCCACAGATATGCACAGAATTCTAAATACAGTAATAACACTTGTGCCGCGACAGTTGGTGTGTAGGTGGAAGTTAGAAGGGAAAGCCCTCAGAGGTTGATCTTTCTCTCTCACACACACACATTTCACATTACATTAGTGCATTTGTCATTCTAGCCTAGGCAGGCCTGCAGAACAACTCTGATTCTACCGAGTCAGCTGGTGGAACGAATGTGTGTGCTTTTCATGGGAAGGCAAAAGCTGTGTGAGGATCTTATAATGTGTGAGCGGTCTTAAATGTTTGGTTTCAGGGCTCAAAGCAGTGTCAGCTGTTGCTTTGCATCATGCATCACTAGGATGCCACAAGCACTGGGAGCAAGTCATGAACACACACTACTACTGGCGTTTAGTGGCCTTTACTTTAATAACTCATTAACCAATAGTTATAGTTCCGTGCTCCCACGGTTTCTTTTTTTCTGCCTTCCCTGCTACCACACTACTTCTTCACGTACTCCCTCATTCTCTCCTCTCATTAATTCTTCTCTGGGGTTGTTTGACTGACAGACCCTTCTGTACTGCGACGCGTCGTAGACCCTTGATGTGGACGTGTCAAGATGTCAGTCTGCGTTTCCAACACAGGCTAATAACGACACTCCACATGCTTTTTTAATAAAGTGTGAAATTACCAATAAATTTCACTAGCGCAGCTGGTGGTATTTTACGCATTACCCATGCTATAAAAATACCCTCAGACCGAATCAGCAGACTTGCCAGTGAAATTAGTGCGGGAAAATGAATAATCACACTAATGTTCTTTCTCTTTTGCAGCAATCTCGTCCAGGGGTTTGATCATTCTCAAACCTGTCATCTGTGAACTACACGCGACAGGGAAAGGTCGCCATCCAGCGGTAATAAACCAGCTTTAAAATGGCCAGTTTTCGTGACTATCAGCCTCCAAACAACACTTTCCATATCATCTTTAGGCTATAGTTGTTTAAACAAATCAACACAGTAAAAAGTCACTGGCATACGTTCAAGCAAACAACTATATAATGAAGATGAAACAGTTTATACAAGTTTTTAATTTTGGTTATATAAATGATAGGTCAGGACAGGCTGTCAGCTTTTCAAATGTTATTTTATAGCTACAATGCATTCATTACAAAATTGCCTAAAATTTTTATTTGAAATATTGTATAGGCTAGTTGTAGGTGTCCAATCAGATCCATTATAGAGGCCTATTATATACAGAAAATAAACACACACTGTCTAATATATACTTATTAGGAATATATTTCAAATTAAATGTATATTGGGGCCTATATATCAAAGGAGAAGATCTGAGGATTCTCTGGCAAAGAGAAACCTACCATTCTAAGAAATTATCAAGGATATTTCCCATAAAGTTATGTACTCAGAAACCACAAGAAGGGAACAATATTTCACTGCAATCTTGAGGGTTGAAATATGAAGTAATTGTCTTCATTTTCAGTCCAATAAGAGATCTTTTTATTTACGTTCTGCTATATACAGCTAATAATGTTAGGGAATAATGTTATATAGCTAATAATGTTAGGGAATAATGTTAAAGGGGTGGTTGATTGCAATTTCACTTTTTTACGTTACGTGAAGAACCCAGAATTTTACATAACCCCCGCCTCCGGGAACACGCAGCAAAGGGGGCGCTGCTTTAGAGAAGAAGAAGAGAAAACTAGAGGTGCACGTAAAAATCTATTCATATATGAATCGCGATTCTGTCTTCTAACGATTCTAATGGATTCACAAGTTGTTTCAAAATCAATGTTCAAAAGCAGCGTTCTCATCCTATTCCTGGCCTTGCCCTGCATCTCTCTCTCTCTCTCTCATTCAGATCATCAGCTCACATATTTTCACATACTATAGTTATGAGAAGCGTTATACATGGGCGCGCGTGTGGTTGCCGAACTGTATTAAAGCTTTAATCAGGATAAAACCGTATATTAAAAGCTAACATAAGCAGTAGCATTTACAAATAACAGCGTATCTAAAAGTAAATTCTGGCAGTTTAATGCCTACAAAAACGACTGGTAAGGGACTACAACGAGTTACTTCCCGGGTTTGTGACATCACAAACCCAGACAAACCTGAGTTATGCAACAAAGGGGGCAAGGCCATGTTGTGCTGCTTTAGAGAAGAGGAAGAGAAAACTAGGGGTGCACGTAAAAATCTATTCATATATGAATCGCGATTCTGTTTTCTAACGATTCTAATGGATTCACAAGTTTCAAAATCAATGTTCAAAAGCAGCATTCTCATCCTATTCCTGGCCTTGCCCTGCATCTCTCTCTCTCTCTCTCTCTCATTCAGATCATCAGCTCACATATTTTCACATACTATAGTTATGAGAAGCGTTATACATGGGCGCACGTGTGGTTGCCGAACTGTATTAAAGCTTTAATCAGGATAAACCCCTATATTAAAAGCTAACATAAGCAGTAGCATTTACAAATAACAGCGTATCTAAAAGTATGAGACAACAACAAACAAAAATCTTAGGCCTACCATTAAAAGCCGTGCTTGCACAGGTTCTGCACGATCCTCTTCAGTAATATCCTCTGCTTCTTAATCGGGCTCAAACTGATAAGCGATATAGGCGACGTCATTGTTTACAATACAACCGGAGCACATGCCGCCAAGGTGAGGGGCGGGACCGCGCGTGCGCTAGAGGCGGTTTTGCCAATCAA